TATAGCGAATTTTGAAAGTTATCGATGAAAATTGCAACATCGAAAATTTTATCAAAACTTCAAATATTGTTTTCTCAAAAACTAAAAGTTATTTTTCAAAACGTGTTGGTTCATCGGAAAGAGGACACTTTTATTAACACTTTGGGAAATTTTCATATTCATATTCCAAGAAGTGAATTTTATACGAATTTTTAAAACTTAATCGGCGAAAATTGCAAAATTCGAAAAAATTGTCGATTATTTCAAAAATTTATTTCTTAAGAACTAAAAGTGATTTTTCAAAATGGCTTGTTGCATTAAAGAGAGGATACTTTAATTAATAATTGGTGATATTTCCACAAGGATCTTTCAAGAAATTAATTTTATAGCGAATTTTGAAAATTATCGATGAAAATTGCACATCGAACATTTTATCAAAACTTTAAATATTGTTTTCTCAAAAACTAAAAGTTATTTTTCAAAACGGGTTGGTTCATTGAAAAGAGGACGCTTTTATTAACACTTTGGGAAATTTTCATACTCATATTCCAAGAAGTGGATTTTATTATTAAAATTGCAAAATTCGAAAAAATTATCGTTCGTTTCAAAAATTTATTTCTCAAAAACTAAAAGCGATTATTCAAAACGGTTTGTTGCATTAAAAAGAAGATATTTTAATTAATAATCGAAAGTTAGTAATGAATGTGATGATGAATTACAAGCGAAGAGAAGAAAACTAGTCGAAACTGCAACAAGGGATTTTGACAAACCTGATATAAATGTAGTTGTATTCAATGAAAAAAGTCGTACATAAGTCTGCAAAAGTTTTATTTTTTGGTAACACTGGATCACAAAGATCTCTTAACGGTTTATAAGCTTGCTCGCCTATCAAGGTTAACACCACTGAAATATGCCGTACAAATAAAATTTCAGAAACATAGGTGTAATAAAACTATATTATGTTTATTAACAATAAATATATTATTAATTTTAAATCGTTATCAACAGGTATTTCCATAAAAAATGTATATGCAAAATGGTCTGGTTCATCAATAGAAGATACATTATCGAATGTAAATTTAGTAGTTAAACCTGGAAAATTAGTGGCTATTATTGGCCCAGTTGGAAGTGGAAAATCAAGTCTGTTACACGCTATTTTGAAGGAATTACCCATCCGTTCGGGCTCAATAAATATAAATGGCGAAATAAGTTATGCTTCACAAGAACCCTGGTTATTTGCAAGTACGGTACGACAAAATATTCTTTTTGGTTTACCAATGGATCGAGCAAGATATAAAATGGTAATAAGAAGGTGTGCTTTGGAAAGAGATTTTCAACTCTTTCCTCACGGCGATAGGACAATTGTTGGTGAAAGAGGTGTTTCTTTAAGCGGTGGGCAAAGAGCTAGAATTAATTTAGCTAGGGCTGTTTATAAACAAGCCGATATTTATTTATTTGATGATCCATTATCGGCGGTAGACACTCACGTTGGAAAGCAATTATTTCAAGATTGCATCGATGGTTATTTACAGAACAAAACAAGAATATTGATAACACATCAATTGCAATATTTAAAAGAGGTCAATCATATAATTATACTCGAAAATGGAATTATTAAAGCACAAGGAAGTTATAAGGAATTACAACAATCCGGATTGGACTTCGCTAAATTATTACAAGATCAACCTGAAGAACAAAAAGAAACTCCAAAATTAGATAGACAAAGTTCAAGTTTAAGTATTTCTAGTGAAACCGGAGCTGCGGAAGTCCAAGAAGTTGGTGTTGAAGAAACAAAATCAACAGGGTCCGTTTCGGGATATGTTTATAGATCTTATTTTGGAGCCGGAGGAAATTGTTGTTTTATATTTATATTATTTGTTTTATTTTTTCTAGCTCAATTTGTTGCTAGCGCTGGCGATTATTTTATAACATTTTGGTAAGGAAAGAAATTATACCGTTTATGTTATGTTAAGTAAACAATTTTTGTTTTTTTAGGGTTAATTTAGAGCAAAAACGATACGATAATTCCCTTCAAACTAAAACACCACACGAATTAAATTTAACCACAAACGCGTTTGAGTACGATTTAAATAACATAACTTCGATTCTTGATACATTACTTTCAAACTCTTCTTTTACATTCGATTCTTCATCTCTTCGTAATAACACAATTTACGACTTTTTTGATTATTTAGATCGAGATACATGCATTTATATTTATTCGGGAATTACGGTTGCAACTATTATCATTTCTTTAATAAGATCGTTTACGTTTTTCACGATTTGTATGCGAGCTTCGCGTAGACTCCATGACAGAATGTTCGCGAGTATAACTCGAGCGACAATGAGATTTTTTAATACAAATCCATCGGGGAGGATTTTAAATCGTTTCTCTAAAGATATGGGCGCCATCGATGAATTGTTACCTTCGGCTTTAATCGATTGTTTACAAATAGGTTTAACTCTAACTGGAATTATTGTAGTTGTTGGAATAGTTAATCCTTGGTTGTTAATTCTGACTGGGGTTATTGGAATTGTTTTTTATTTCTTAAGAATTTTTTATTTGTCGACTGGGAGAAGTGTGAAGAGACTGGAAGGTGTAAGTAAGTAAAATTAAATCTTTTTACACTGTTGGAAATAATTCACGAGCACACCCTGTATAATCTGAACACGTGTGTCTAGCGCAATTAAATTTGGTATGGAAGTTGTAGCGTCGCTACAACTTCAATCATTAACAAACAAGAATTATTAATCGTCTCAAAATTTTTCTTTATTTCTTTGATTCGTTATGTTGAGAAGTGATGAAGCACCAGAAACGCCAGACCACGTTGGGGCAGTCAATATGAGACTACCTCCCTTTTGGGCTGCACGTCCAGAAACGTGGTTCTGGCAAATTGAATCACAGTTTGCCCTTGGTAGGATCACCAACGATCGTACCAAGTTTAATCTGGTGGTCACGCATCTTCCGCCAGAGATAATTAATTCTATAATCGATTTAATTAACACAATTCCGACGGAGGATGCGTACGGGTGTATAAAGAGAGCGATCATTAGCCGTTTTTCCTTAAGTGAAGAAAAGCGACTTAATGATCTACTCTCCAACACACACATGGGGGACCAGAAGCCCTCAGAGTTTTATCGAGAGCTTTTAGCCTCCATTGGGGACTCTCAACTGGTGAACGCAGATCTGCTTCTCAGACTGTGGCGTAATAGACTGCCAAAGTCTATTTCAGTAGCTCTCCTAGCATCGGGGAAAGAAGAGACCACCGACTTATTGGCAATAGCCGATAAGATATGGGAAGCTCTTTCTCTTCCGAATAATAAGAATTTACAGCGGCCGACTCTCGAATTTCCTTCCACTTCTTCTACTTCTTTAACAATGACTCCCATCCCGTGTTTATTTATTTATTTACGTATACAGTTGGACACGGAAACGGGACGAACCTAAGGCACCGTGTCTCAAAGATAACAATATAAACGATCAAAACATATAGAATTTACTTATATAAAACTAATTATTGTGATCAGCTTTACACGCCGCAATTATCAAACGTTTAAACGCGCGTAGCGAGTCGCAAAAGACATCAACCCCCGCGCCACGATGTAAATGGTCGCAAGTGCGCGCCATTCTCAACATGGGATAGTTCTGAAAGATATTCGTACGTGGAGTAGGCATGTAAAATAAATAATCGAGCCGAAGACACCGGAGAGGAACACGAAAATTAACGACTTCAAGAAGGCTAGGAGAATCAATACTACCATTAATGATTTTATGGAATGTTAAAGCATCACCACATGAACGACGCTGACGGAGCGATAAGAAGTTGAAGGAGGCACAGGCAGATACGTAATCAATGTAAACGATGTTGCTTTTAAAACATAAATACTTTAGGAATTTCTTTTGAATCCTTTCAATTCTGGATATATATGTTTGATATTGGGGATTCCAAACGGAGCTGCAAAAGCTTAAAACGCTATGCACATACGCAAAATACAATGTTCTTATAGCATAAATATTTGTAAAATTTTGCGTGACTCTCATAACGAAGCCAAGCATGCGCCAAGCCTTAGCAACAGCTCCATCAACGTGGCCCTCAAACGTTAGTTTGACATCAAATGTGACGCCCAAATCCCTGATCTGAGTCACTCTAGGTATGGTATCATCACCTAGGCTATAATCGTATCTGATTGTGCCTTCCTTCCTTGTAAAAGAAATAACATTACATTTTTCAGGGTTCAGTGTCAAGAAATTTGAGCTGCAATAAATACGTAGCGCATCAATGTCGCGCTGTAGCCTCGAACAATGCAAAGGTGAAGAAACTCGTGTAAAAATTTTTAAATCGTCAGAATACATCAAGCAATGAGAGTGTTTAATTATTGAAAAAATATCATTGATATAAATATTAAATAAAAGAGGTCCTAAGTGACTCCCTTGCGGTACACCGGAGGTAACAAACATGCTGTCCGAAAAATGACCATTGATATTCACCTTTAGAGTCCTTCCACGTGTATGGGAGGCAAACCAACGCACAAGATGTTCGTCAATATCAAACATACGAAGTTTTGAAAGAAGCAGAGCATGATCGACTCGATCGAAAGCCTTACTAAAATCAGTGTAAATGGAGTCAACCTGAAAGGAATCATCCATAGAGTTTAAAATATAATGGGTGTATTCCAACAAGTTGCTCTCGACCGAGCGACCTGCAACAAAGCCATGCTGTCTATAGTCGATTTTACTTTTCACAATGAAAAAAAGTCTTCTATAAATAAGCTTTTCAAGTATTTTACTAAATAATGGCAATAACGAAATAGGTCTATAATTAGATACCTCATCACGATTTCCGGATTTAAAGATAGGGATTACATGAGCCTTCTTCCAAACACGTGGAAAAACTCCAGATCGAATCGACCGGTTATATATAACAGTTAAAGGAAAAGAAAGTGACTCACAGCAATTTTTAATTATGATGGCAGGAATACCGTCCGCTCCTGATCCCTTCGATGGATCCTCTCAAAGCCTCCTCAACCTCCGAACGTTCAAAGCATATCGCGCAATCTCGATCAAGATTAAGGTGGTTGTTAGATACAACACCCGTCTGAGTAGGCATAAAGGCAGAGTGAAAGTAAGAGGCAAATAGCGAACAAACAGACCGAGCATCGGTGGCAACAACACCGTTGTGAGTGACAGTGGCAGGAATATCATTCCCCCCTTTTCGATGCTTAACGAATGACCAAAAAAACCTTGTATTTGAAGCAATCTTCGTCTCAGTGTTCAAAGTGTAATTCTTGTAATCTCGATCAATAAGAAATTTTGTCTGACCTCTCAGATGGGAAAAGGTCAGATAATCAATGCGGTCGCCATAGCGCTTCCACCTCCTATGCGCCTTCTTTTTCTCTTTAATCACCTGCCTAGTGCCAGGTGAAAACCACATTGGACAACCTCTCATCCGTTTTTGAACTTTTGGAACGAATTTATCAATAGCTTCACGTACATGGATATAAAATAACTCTAAACAGCGGTCCACATCGTCAACACACAACACCGCCTCCCAATTAATCACCGCAAGTTGAGTATTAAGAGAATCAAAATCACCCTTGAGGTAATTGTAAGAGACGGAGGAGTTATATTCGAAACTAGACGACGTGGCAACCGCACAGGAGAACTCAAGTGTAGTATGAGCAATATCCTTACGAACCAACGGGTTATCGCTTAAAGTCACGTTACTTATATCATAGAAATTAGTAATTATTAAATCCAAAGTATTCCGAAAGGCACCAATGTGGTGATTGAATTGAATCAGGCCGCACAGAGACAGAGCGTCAAGAAAATCAAGAGGTATACTAGTATTATTAATACGTGAAGCGACACAATGACGAGAATTGACATTTAGAGACCATCTCAGCTCCGGTAGGTTGAAGTCTCCGCATATCAAAGATTTATCATTCGGGAACATCTGAATAATCGCGGAAAGCTGATCAATAAAAGAATATAACGCTACGTTATTCAAAGGCGGAATATAAACACAACAAACATGAATCAATGAACCGCCACCACGCATTGTTATACCAAGAGCATCCAGCCCGACAAACCAACCGAAACGCCCAATTACTGAGTACGCCGAAGATACGCCGATCAAAACGCCCCCACCCAACAAATTATTAAATGCGTTATTAGGCCTGTCGGATCTAAATACATTGTACGAATCTGGAAAGACCTCTGCCGAATGTATCCCAGGATGCAGCCAAGTCTCCGTCAGACAAATAACGTCGAGATCAGACTTTAACACGTTATTGAATAATGTATTTAACTTAGTTCTAAGGCCGCGTACATTTTGGTAATAAAATGAAATGGCAGACATTGTAAATAATACAACATGGTAAATAATACTCGCATGACAATAGACCCGTCTACATCCTGCTCACATCGGCATCACTTTGAATGTGGATAGGGCGTGCGTCATCACTCATCCTGACGTAGATCTCGCAATTCTTGGTCCAAACATACTTATAAGATTTTTCTTTAGCGACACTTCTGGCTTTACCAAAAAGGATTTTGTTCGCCGGCGTTAAATGCTCATTAATAAAACAACAATCAGTAACACCCTGGATCGATAGTCCCGGTGAGGACCCAGCAACCGCCGATTTCCTCTTTAATTTCACAGCAGCAAGAAATTTATCACGCACAAGACGGCTGCAGAAACGCACAACAACAGCCTTTGGAGCACTTCGACGACCCTTCGACCCATGACCATTACTGTTTAGGCCGTGAGGAACGCGATGGACAGCATCCACATCAGCAGCCGAAATCGGAACGTCAAGGAAGGTACCCACAGTCTCGACCATCGCAACCAAGTTCTCATTGTCCCTCTCAGGAACTCCTCGGATGTCAAGGTTGCTGCGGCAGGAATATTGCTCCAAATCCGCCACGCGCCCCGATAGCTCAATAACCTGCTTCTTCAGAAAAGCATTCTCGGCATTCAGCCTATCGATCATCTTCAGCTGCTCCTGCACTTCCTTCATGGATGCCTCGAAATCAGAGACCCTTTGGCTTCAAAACTGGACCGAGTCCACCAAAGTATCGTAGCTTGCGCTCATATTACGCATCTCCGATCGCAGCTCCTTCACAATGTCGAAAACAGCCTCAAGTGTAATAGGGCTGCGCTCTGCCGCAGAAGACGTTGATGGAACGGGGAAAATGCGCGACATACGGCGGTCGGACGGCGAGCGACATCCAGAACATCTCCACGACGCCCCCGCCACCTTGAGGGCAGCAATTGACGTCTCGGTAACCTCGACGCATTTGGCATGAAACCACTCGACACACGATTCGCACTGAATTCCTATAGTCTTCCCCCCCACCTCACGCTTGCACCGCCCACACCTATTATGCACCAGCAACAATCATCGAACGCACTGCACTATTAGCGAAAATCGTCTCCAAAAATGACGAGAATTTCTAACAAAATCTTAGAAAAGAAGGAGCGCGTTGCGAACGTATACATCGATCACATCGATCATTTGGGTACTTGTTCACAACAGACAACCTTGAATGATGTATTAAAAGCATTTGACAATTTCACAACAAAATGTCAAAATATCTTTT